TTTAATGAGTCTGTGGTGCGAAGAACAATTAATGACTTCTACATAGTCGAAAAATGGAGACCTACCCTGAAAAAAGTTCATGAAAAGTTGAAGAAAACATTAGATTTTTAGGGATGCATCTCCACATTAAAGAAAATATAGTCTGCTATTCGGCACTTAAAACTTAACATCGGATGTGTGAACATCATCGAGACTAAACCATCAACACTATGCAATACAATGAGGTAAGAAGTTATTTCATTTTGAGAACGCCTGAACTGCATCCCCCTCCACACTTGTCGGCATGCTGGAGCTCTCCCCGCCACTGCCAATACTTTTCCTACTCCGCGTCGGAAGACTGTCAGTTCTAAATACTACAACTGTAGATATTGTGTTAACTGATGTTTCAGAGGAGCGTATCACCTCCATATTCAAGGTAGAAGAAAAAGAAGAAATCCACAAGCGAACCAGTGTGAGAAGGTGCTTAACAGACTGATATGTTCCTCCAAAACGTCGGTTAACACAATATCTACGTGGCGCCACATCCCAGAAGATTTCTTCTTTCATAGTCACCGCCGTGAAAACCTCAAATCTTGTACACCTCTGGTTGTCTGAAGGTAGTCTTGAAGTATTTTGGTGTTCTCTGAGAACTAGCATTTGCCCCCAATTGGCCTTGGTATTTTCAGAATGTAGTTCTATTGCTGGGTTTGGCAGCTAAAGGGTTAAGTAGTGATTTCACTTTTAAATAGTTTGTTACCAGACTCTGCTATTTCTGTGTGCAGGAATGAGAAGAAGGAGACAAGTGTTTCAACCAGTTTGCAGCAGCAGCAGCGCTCATACTGGTGTCCTAAAATCTACTTCAACCACAAATGTTTCTCTGGACCATTCCTCAGCAAAGGGAAGCTGGCACAGTTGCCCAAAGCTGTAGGCCCTGGTCCTGTTACACTTGTGATGCGGGAAGTTCTGTCCATGCTCATATCTGTGGCATACAAGTCCAGCAGGGTGCTCAAGGAGCTGCAGACAGATGGAAAACCACAGCCAGGCATGCATCTGGAAATTCTCAAAGCCAAGTGAGAACACTTCGTGAGTTCATTTTTAACAAAAGGTTCTGAGAAGAGCATATGGCATCTTCCTCCTTTGAAGTACATATGTTTATATAAAGCAGCAGGTAGCAGTTTTGTCTGAAGAGTTTCTTATCTGAATAACATTAAATGATGTAATCTCATTTGAACACCATATCTTATGTAAAATTCAAGAAATTTTTGTTACAAAATGTGAAGTTTCAGTACTGTCACCAGAATAGACTACCATTGGATCTTTACTTTAATCATTTTGGCCAAGTTCACATTATTAAAAATTGTGTCTCTCAGATCCTTTTTCCTTCCATTTTTGTCACCAAATATCATACTATAGCCTTCTTATTTTTTTATTTTGGAAATTCCAGGTTGAAAACTAAGGTCAGAAATAGGCTATCCTAACTGAAGTTTTTATGTGGTTTTATTCTGTTCTTTCAGGCAAATAGGTCAGGACTTCTTCCTAATCAGAATCACACCATTTTATATCATAGGTATTTTGCAGCGACAAAGAATTGTTCAGTTAACAGAGAATCATTCAAGAATTCAGTTGGATCATTGCACCTTTATTACATTTTTATGAATCAAATTTGTGTAAATTCTTTAGCTTTTAGGTAGGCACAAATAGCCAAGATCCTGTTGCACCGCAAAACACACTCACTGACACTCACCCATCTCTCACCTGTGGGATGTTCTCATTCCATAAAATATACTTACTAAATGTGAATTAATTTCTTATTTCTCCCTCTGTTTGGCCTTTCTTAGACCGACAATTTAATTACTGAACTAGGTTAAGAACGTGTTCAGCTTTACCTCCACACCCCCTGTTCACTTGAGTGTCAGATACATTTCATCAAACTGTCCAAAGTATACTCTCAGATGTGAATGGCTTTGTCTGTCATCCACTGTCAAATACTCAGTGATGACCCCCATGTTTTAACCAGATAAGTGGTACTTTTTCCGTGTTTGTATACCTCCTGCAGTGAGACATTAAAATTCCCCAGACATTTAAATTTGTTACTGTGGTGTTTAATTTTATTATTGTTTCTTCCTTTTTAAAAATTCAGTATCTCAACCATGTCTTTATGATTGATTGATCAGTAACTGTCACATGACAGGTCCACAGTCTCTTCCAAAACAGTTCCTCCACTTAATGTGATCTTCTGTTTTTGGAAAGAAACTGTCCAGGAAAAGTGATAATGTGGTAGTTTTTCCATTTGCTTTCCACATCGCAGTACAACAGCCGTTCAAACCACTCTGGTCACGCCTGTTGCTATACGAACTTGAACCATCTCGAGCATCATTTGTTCTGTGCTTCAAGTCGCTGCTGATGACGCTGCTTCCGGCATCAGTTTTTGGTTTTTGGTGTCTCTCTTCGTCTGATGCCTACCCTTTGACCTGTCCAGCAAGGGAGGCCCTGCCAGTAGCTACGCTACCGCTGGTATAGCTCTCAGGGTCCTTGGCATACTCAAACCCCCTCACCACGATAAGGTGGAGACACCGACGAGGGGGCATGTCTTTATATATCTTTATAAAATTATGAAACTAAACATGTCTGAAAGACCAATTATCAATTTTCATATATGTATATATCTTTTCATTTATATAACCATTACATTAAAGGATATACAGGGGGGTCCAAAAAATGTACTCACTCTTTGATAGTCAATGTCTTTGGAACAAAATGACATGTAGTTATAATTCTTGCGCAGTAGTGTAGTGTAATGTTTTCTCAACAGATGGCGAAGGTCACATGAGACATGCGAGTGTCGTGCCTCATGCGCGCTGCGAGCAGAAGACAGCAGCAACAATGGCTGAAAGGTTGTTCTTTGAGCAACGCAAGGCTGTATTGAAGTGGTACTGGAAGTACGAAAACNATGTCTTTATATATCTTTATAAAATTATGAAACTAAACATGTCTGAAAGACCAATTATCAATTTTCATATATGTATATATCTTTTCATTTATATAACCATTACATTAAAGGATATACAGGGGGGTCCAAAAAATGTACTCACTCTTTGATAGTCAATGTCTTTGGAACAAAATGACATGTAGTTATAATTCTTGCGCAGTAGTGTAGTGTAATGTTTTCTCAACAGATGGCGAAGGTCACATGAGACATGCGAGTGTCGTGCCTCATGCGCGCTGCGAGCAGAAGACAGCAGCAACAATGGCTGAAAGGTTGTTCTTTGAGCAACGCAAGGCTGTATTGAAGTGGTACTGGAAGTACGAAAACATTAAAGAGGTAAAACAACAATGGCAGAATGAGTTTGGAACTCAGCCACCAACATGTCGAACAATTGCCCGTATTCGGGATAAATTTGAAGCCAACGGTACTATTCATGATGCGCATAAGCAAAGATCTGGGCGACTGAGGATAATAACAAGTCCAGCTTCCAGTGCTGTGGTGTTGCAACACTTTACACAATCACCACAAAAATCTGTGAATCAGTGTGCACGCAAAAGTAGGGTAAGCCGATCAAGTGTACAGCGAATTCTGAAGGCTGCAAAGTGGAAAGTGTACATTCAAAGACTGCTGCACGCTATGAATGAGGACGACCCGGATCGAAGGCTTGAATACTATGAGTGGTTTGAAGGCGTGGTTCGCGAGGATGAGTTTGCAGGGAAAGTTATCTGGTCTAACAAGGTGCAATTCAAAATAAATGGTACTGTTAACTGCCACAATTGTGTGTATTGGGCTCCTGTAAATCCACACGTTCACGTGGGCAAGGAAGTGAATCTACCGGGTGTTAATGTGTGGTGTGGTCTGTCATCGCACGGTTTGATTGGTCCTTTCTTCTTTGAAGGTACCATAACTGGTCAGGTGTATCTCGATATGCTTCAGACATCGATTTTCCCTGCCATTTGAGAGCTGTTTGGAGACGAGAGATTTTACCTAAACAAGATGGTGTTCCACCTCACGACCATCGAGATGTCAGGGCATACTTGGATGACACTCTACCTGGACGATGGATAGGTCGAAGAGGTGCTATTGAGTACCCACCACGGTCTCCAGACCTAACACCTCTCAACTTCTACCTATGGGGAACCTTGAAGGATGAAGTTTATCGACAAAAGCCAGCTACACTGAATGTGCTACAAGTAACCATTGAAGTGTTGTGCGCAGCCATCACACTGGACACACTGACAGTCGTAGTTCGCTCAGCAGTTCGGCAGCATCTACACTGTTTAGCTGCTGATGGTGGGCACTTCGAACACGCAAGAATTGTTACTACATGTCATTTTGTTCCAAAGATGTTGACTATCAAAGAGTGAGTATATTTTTTGGACCCCTCTGTATATATTTTTTTATAAAAATTCTGTACTTTTGGCTTTATTCTCAAAAAGTACACCACTGATGTGCATTTCGTTTCTGAATGTGTGATCACAAAGGCATGTCTGACTCATGCACATTCAGTATATGCCGTCCTGGCTGGCATTTGATGTTTAGAGATGAAACACAATCATATAAGCTGACTAACAAAACCACCTCCAGCCTAAACACACAGTTACATGTTTGATTATTGCAACATTTTGCTATAACCTACTACAACCCTGACTGCCTCATTGATAACATCTGTATCTTATTGCTGTGTGGGCTAAATTTGTACTTCCTTTACAAGCTCAAAGCTACTGTGGATGAACGAACTATGTAACAAAAGCTGTTTCTTCTTCCAAACATCAACTGCAAAAGCATTACCTTGTACAGACTATGAAACCATAACTAAAACAATTATTCCATCGGAAACTCCGTTGCAACTCCAGTGGCACATACTGTGAAAGTCTTTATAATTATGGTGTAGTTTTCAGCACCAGCCCATACACTTTCTAGCCACCAAAATCTTACATTCAGACACTTCTTAGCCACTTGTTGAACCTCAGTCCCCTTTCATGCCTCTAGCAGTAGGCCGTCATGTGTTAACATTGGAAATGGTGCAGCACACAGTGTCACCCTAGAATTTTTTCAGTTGTACCTTTTTTCATGACAGTTACCCTTTTCATTGTCAACAAAACGAAGAAATTATCTAGAAGGTGGAACCTCCTCTCACTGAACAGGTCCAAAAATACGAGTGTTTCCTGAAAATTCCGCCAGGAGAAATAACCCTTGTTATCCAGTTTTGGGTGATGTCCTTGTAACAGAAAGAATGCCAGCAACTTCATAATTTAATTTTTGTTCCTCTCCTTCCAATCACGGATCATAGATCGTAGTTTTAGATTAGGCATTTTCTAAAAATTTTTTGGCATACCAGCTTGATTCTATGGCTATTACTTCCACAATTTCTGGAGTACAAAACAACAAAAAATATTCCAGGGAGTTACTGTGGTCTTCTGAATCAACATTTATGCCAGGCTCGCCATTAAATGGAAAATGTGGTCTCTCAGCACCTGACTTTGCCTATATGTCATGCTGCATGCTACTGTTGTCACTGACATTTTCTTCTTTGCCAGAGCAGACACTCTGTTCACATGACAAAATTTTCACATTTACTTCACTGTCACTACTGTATTCACTCTCTGAAATATCACTATATTCATTCTCTTGCAACAGTTCATGTAACACCTCCTCCTCACTCACATGCATCTTCTTGCTAGGACCTGCCATAATGTTTACTCAGAAAAGCTAGACCCCAGGACAGCTGTCAAGCAACCAGCACCTTCCTGTCACACTCTGAAATAACTAGAAGATATAGCAAGGACAGCGTACAGATTTGCATTACTGACTGTCATATCTGTAACGGTATAGTTGGAAACATGCATGATGTGTAGAGACATCATATTTGCTACAATACAGAGAACCGCATGACATGTTGAGATGTCATAACCACTTAACTGCTAACCCAGGTTTTAGCCTTTTTGCAAGCAACTGAGATTTTTTTTATACACCTTCTGTCTGGCTTCTATCTTTCATGTTACATGGGACTTGATTTTCTAAAATTTTCAGCATACTGTATATGGTCTAACTAGTAGATAGACCCATTAGTCTCAGCAGCTGATATGCCTATGAAACCCACTACTGCCACTGCTGGTGTTTTACTTGCATCACTGGCATTCATGGTCTGACAATAAAGTTCACGAAATCATCGCAGTAAAAGTGCTACATACTTTGTTGCTGAATATCACTGTGGTCACCTTCAAAGTACTCCCTTTTGGAAGCTATGCACCGATGCCAGTGCCTAGTCCATCCTTCAAAACAGTTTTGGAACTGGTTTTGTGGAATGGCCTTCAGAGCTGCTGTTGTATTACTCCTGATGTCATTAATGTCATCAAAATGCCTTCCTTTCAATATTTCCTTAATCTTTGGGAACAGAGAAAGGTCACTGGGGGCTATATCCAGTGAATAGGGAGGATGTTCCAGCACAGTTTTTTGTTTACTAGCTAAAAACTCCCTTAACAGACAGTGCCGTGTGAGGATGTGCATTGTCATGATTCAAGACACCAAAACACACTCAGACAATGGTAGACACCACTCAGAAAGAGACTGCGATAGATCAACAACAACACAGCTGTGAAATGCTGATATGCCAACTTCATCAAACCATACTGAGGTTTCTGTCCACTGCTGCCATAGCAAGCCCACAGTAGCTAGTTCGCGTACTTTATTGTCAGACCTTGTATATTTGTGTCATTACTCACAGCAGCTACCTTTCAATTTCAGGTACAAAACCAACACTTACCGAGCCAGTGTTGCTCTCGTCACATCTGCTGATGAGGTGCCATCCTTCTGTAGGGAAATCTGTGTGAAGCTGCAGGTGTGTCCCTTTCTGTTTGGACCTGTTTCTGTTGGAGACAAAAATTGCCCAGAGAACTGCAGCACTCTCTCCAAGACTCGATTTAGTAAGTTTTGCACTGAGCATGTTGTTATGAATTGTTATTCTTGAGACTTATCATTACTGGGTTGCTATAAACCTCAAGGGAGAGTAGTTCATCAACAGTTCACTAGGTGTTGTTTTACAGCTATTTAATATATTAACTGGCAACACAATATAACATACACAAAAATAAACTGATACATGTAAAACAAAGGTTTGTTCCAAAAACAGAAGTGAATCATATGTAGAAATAAAGTTAGTTGGTAGACCTTTCGCTTCAGCTGCAGTACCTGAAATTTCTCTAGATCCTATTGTCAGTCACACTCAAATAAGGGTAGGCCTCAAAGGCATCTGGTACAGATTTTGATGAACTAATCAGACATGTCTTAAGCGGTGGTCAGTATGACCTTGCACCTTAGCATAACTTGTGAACTCATGTAATGGTGGTATCATACTCGCTATTTGATTAATTCTCCAGTACTTTGACTCAAGATGTACATACAAATTTAGAATGACTAAGAATATTCACCAGGTAGTGTCGTGTGGGTGCTTCACATACTTGCAGTCCAATGGCTGTATGTTACTGGGTCGTTGTTCCCTGTTGTACATTGTTTGCTGGTCTTGTACCATTCAGGACCAAGCTCCTAAGCTTGTTTGGCAGTTGGCAGAATACTCTCTCTTCTCCTTCTGCTCCTGAATTTCTTTCCTTAACTGATGAAAGGAGAAGGGGTTGGAGTTCATATGTCAGCCTTATTGCCACCTGTGGCCTATATTGTTGCCATATTGCTGCTGAAGGACACTTGGTACGATTCTGTGTATATACGATAGTGTTCAAGAAGTAGTAACCGTTATAACTTGTATTCAACTGAGAGCCATATTACTAAGTATCCTGTCTGAAAATTACCTGACTCTTGAATTAAATCATACCCTTCCCCCTCACATGAGCTACAAATGTGTATTTCCAAAGCCATCCCTCTCCTCTCATCTCACTTGATGCTACAACTTGCAGTTGAATCGACATGTAGGAATCAATCCATCAGTAAATTGTATGGCTTGAATTTTCAGTTGCACTAACAGAGAAGTGTGAGACTTGAGGTTCTCACACCAGTGACTGAAGAATACTCTCATTTTGGATGTGACACCATGTAGTCTGGTAGATGCTTATTGACATTTCAAAGAAACATACTACTTCCATCTTTCTATACGAGTGTTGGAACTTTAATAGTGGCAACTATTTATTTACAACTGATACAAAATAGATGCATGTTTCAAAGTTTTACTGTCCTTTAGTGTAGTCACCAGCATTGTGTACAACCTGTTGCCAGCGATGTGGAAGTCGTAGGATACCTTTAGCAGTGCCTGTTGTGTTGATAGTTCAAATGGAGCAGTCTACTGTGTGAAGAATCTCTGGAACAGTTCTGAAGCGAATGCCACGAAGTGGTTCCTTCATCTTAGGAATCAAGTCGAAGTCACAAGGGCTTAAGTGGATAATACAGCACTTCCCAGCCCCATCGATCGAACAGATCAGCCACAGCTTGCGCTGCATGCAGCCGAGCATTGCCCTGCAAAATGATGGGTGCGTTCTGCAGAAAGTGTCACCGCTTCTTTCTCAAAGCTGGTCGTAGGTTGTGTTCCAAAAATGAACAGTAATACCACGCATTGACGGTCTGCTGTCAGGGAACGGTATGCATTAGGATAACACTATCACTGTCATACACAAGAATCACCATAACTTTCACATTGCTGGGGTTCTGACGAACTTTTGATTTTCGTGGTGACCCATAATGACGCCATCCATTGGATTGGCGTTTTATTTGTGGCTCGTACGATTTGGCCCATGTCTCATCCAGCGTAATGATACTCATACGGCGTAAGAAAGCCTCTCCTTCGTGCTCATAGCGCTCCAAGTGGTTACGAGCAGCGTCGTATCATAGCCATTTCTGCATTTCCGTCAAATCATGCGGAGCCCATCGTGTGCAGTTTTTCTCATGCCCAGGTGTTCCTTCAGAATGTGAAGCACAGTCGTATATGCTAATCCTGTCTCTCGGGCCAGCTCACGAATCGTATGGCGTCGATCACTCCCCAGTAACGTGGAAAGAGCATACACTTCTTATTCACTGATACTAGGATGACCTGGCCAACTCATGTCTGCCACATTTTGGCATCCCTCGTTGAAGGCTTGTACCCACCTTGCCACTGTTCTGTAAGGCAATGCAGATTCCCCGCAAGCCTCTTGAAGACCTTGATGACACTGTCATGCTGTACGGCATCTGACACATTCAATATTTATCCAACTTCGTTGTTCCTCTTTCAAAAACATTGTGACAACACTACATTAGACCACCAGCTAACACGAGAATCTGTTCTTCTCGTCACTGTGCATGCACATGTTGTGGGTAGGGAGAGTCCATTTGCTCTGAGGTAAGGTAGGTATGTAACTAACATGTGCTATAAGCGACATTATTTGGTTCCATTGCATGGCGTCTCTACAGCAGTGTTGCCTCTATTAAAGTCCCTCATACGTTAGCCAAGGAGGCAGTGTAAAATTGTTATTTTATCTGCTGGTTGAGGAATATACAGATAATTGACAGACATAAAACTGGAAAATAAATAAATTGTGGATGTGTGAACATTTTGGACTGTGCAGATTTTCCTGCTCAGAGAATGAAGCTTTTATCTGTGACAAAGTCAAAACTGGGAACTAGAAGATAACAAGACCCTACTGTAGCCTGGAGCCCACATTAGCCTGTAGGCCCCACCTGCTCACCATACAACCTCAGAATTGGATTACACACACCCTGATCTAGATGGACAGAGATATCAACACTGATTTTATCCAGAGGTAGTACACAAACAATGGCAATTTGGACCGCTTGCTTTGAGCATGGACTTGATCTTCAAAGGAATGCTCCATTTTTATCACCCATATATACACACATGAAACCTCAAGCTCGGTTTTAGAAATTATGTTGAAATCTGAAATGGGAGATTATTACTAACTGTATTCATGAAGTTTAATTACTCTCCATTAGGGTAGGTTTAACACATTGTGCATGAAACCTCAAATTTAAATCCAGGTATAGGAGTTGTGACACAGTTATATAGTTTGATTGAATCTTTATAATAGAACCCAACAGAAAATGATGTATTCTTCCCTGTTATCCAATCCGTGTGACTAATATATTGCACACAAACAACATTAGTAAATATACCCATCCCTACTGCTAAGGCGAGGAGAAAAATGATGGATAAGAAGAGAAAAAACAAGGTTGGAAAAGTGTAATCCTTACTGGAACATGCACGTGCACTTTCCCCATTGTTCTATTCATAATGCTCCCTTATTAAAGTATTATTCTGTATGTGCAAATGGAAATGTAATGGTGGGAAAAAGACCACAGGGAAGACCTAGACATAGATTGAGAGAATATTAAAATGGATGATAAACAAATAGGTTGGCAGAGTGTTGAGTAAACTGATCTGGCTTAGTGGTGAGATCTTGTAAACATGCTACTGAAGCTTTGGGTTCCACAAAATGCTGGGAATTTCTTGAATGGGTAAGCAACTGCCAGCTTCTCAAGAAGGACTCAGCCCCATCTAGTTAGTTTGTTAATGGTGAGATGACCTTGAATGAATGGTTTTGGTGATCATTGCTGGGAAATGAGAGAAAACGTTAAGCTGAAAAACATTAAATTGGGGTTACACTGTATATGTGGAAGAAAATGTTATGATTACAGGGGCTCAGAAATTTAGTACGAGTATTTAAAGGGTTAATATACACTAACATCATGTTGGTTACTCCATTAAAAATATATAGTTTTTGTCTTTCAGTTTTACCATATCTCTTCAAGTGCATAAGTCTTTCTGCCCACTGAATAAAAAACTCTGTGGCTTTAGTCCACAAGTGAACTATACCGACCGAGTGATCACCACTTTTTGGCGAAGTTAGTGCCAACTTTAGCCGATGGAAGGTGTTGTGTGGTCAGCGCAACGAATCCTTGAAATAGCTCCTCAGTTATCCTCATGAGGCCGAGTGGACCCTGTTCCAGACCCACTACTACTTAGAATATCTGATAGCGCCGGGAATCGAACCCAGAACCTCTGGATCTGTAGCCAGGAACTCTGACCACTAGACCACAAAGGTGGTCCCTCTGCCCACTGAATATATCTCAAAAAAACATTCTTGGATGCCCAGTGCTTACTTGCTTCTCTACACTTTTGTTCCTGTCTTTGAAGTTCTGAATCCATCAAATCGCAGTTGCATGGCTTGTGGCAGCATCTTTGTGCACTCCTCTTAGACGATGGTGAATGTCACCCACAGGAACACCTTCTTTCCACAAAAACCACACCGTCCAACATTGCCCCTGATAATTACCTTCCATTGTGTCCATGCATGACCCAGTACTATTTGGAACAACTGCCTGTTACATGGCGCCGCTTGCACTGTGCACTGCCATCTGTTGGCATTCTGTACAACTACACATACTCTGCCGATTACCATCGGGAGCTAAAAAATTCTTCCCACCACTTCCAAATAACGCCCTTTGTCTCAGTCATTTTTGAATGGCCCAAGTGTATCAAAATGCACATATGTTCTGGGGAAGAAAAACATGTGCATTATACATATTGTGGGTTTAATAGTTTTGTAAGCCAATACACATGTTCTGGAGGAACATGCTCTGTCCATCTTCAGGCTCGAAGTTAGTAGACTCAGAATGCAGTTACATTCTGTAGGCAGGGTGCGAGGGGTTAAGGGTGTAACGTGTTTGTCTACTGAAGATGCCATTCGGATTGGAATTGGGTTTATTAGCCACTTAGTTACACACTCTCTCTTAATTACACTCTAATACAGCACTATCTTTGAATTACACTTACACTTCAGTTCACTGCTGCACGCACGCTAGGATTCCCTGTCTTCCACTAGTCGTCTCCTAGCAACAGATCCCTACACAGAAACTGTCACTTCAAATCACTCCAAATATTGCACATAATTAAGGTCTTCAATCATCCTTTAAATCTTCACAGGTCTTCTACGAACCTTCCGTTGCTGTTACTTAAACACTCTCGAATACTCCTCATTACTGACCCCTTAGGTATTGCAGTTTCTCTTATAAACCCTCATTCGGACAGATGGAAAACGCAGCTTGCTTCACTGTTGCATGACGTCACAGCCTAGTGTGGAAGGGATGTTTGCCACTGCATACCAATGGCCTCGGTGAGGGACGTGTGTGACATAATTTGCAGAAACGCAGATGTCACGTGACTCCTACTCACTACAGCAGTATGATGTCATTGCACATGTGTGGGAGTCTTTTACCAGCTGGCGCTTAGAAGCGGCTTACACACCCTCATTCCACCATTGCATAATTTAGCAACTGACTGTTAATCAAGTCTGTCTTCATGGTAACTCGTTCCACATCCCATCGCCCAACAACGGGTCAACATGTCACAAGGGGGTCTAGGCCAGTAGGAAAAGTGAGTAGGAAGACAGCCCCCTTCTTCATATGCTGAAAATGGAAGCATCATGCTTCCCTGAAACACTGAAATCTACTTACAAGACTATGTGGTGCAACAACCCAGAAGACCACATTCTGAACAATTACTCCTCTGATAGCCTCAGAACCTATGCGTGCATTTTATTGAAGGAAATGCTGTAAACTAAAATACTTGCAGTAAGTGTTAATGCTGAATATACCCATCTTATGTTCAGCTCAATACTGGGTACATGGGAAACGCAAGGTTGGCCGTCCTAAAGGAGAAGCAAGTAATATAGTCTCACGGCCAAAGAAGAAGAGAGGACGCAGACGACTGTTTCCAAACACAAAGTTGGAAGCAGAATGTGAAGCAGTAGAAGGAGAGGCCAATATGGAAACAGCTGCTGATGTTGAAATTTACTCATTGCCTCATGGTTTGGGACCTGTTGCTGCTGGAGGTAAGTGCTATCACTGTTAGTGACTTTGAATGGTTGCATCAGAACCAGAGGCCCTCTTCATGGTAAGATCCATATGGAAATGCAATATTTTATCCCTGCACAGATATGTGTACTAATTTTTGACAACTTATTATTCATGTATTCTCCATGGATTAGGTCCAGGGTTCTTCCACCTTGTTGGATTTGAAGTTCTCACAGTGATAACTGTGATGCAGTGGTCTATAGTCTGATAGAGATTCACGCATGTTTTGGAAGATCATACTGCCTCTGTCTTCAGGGACAAGGAACAAACAAATCAAGCACCCAGCAACAAGCAAGCTTAGACAGACTGTTATGATTTTACTCAGTTCAGAATCAGTATATATTTTATTGATTTAATTGAATGTTTCATTCAGAAAATCTCTTGCTGTTAGTGAAAGAAGAATAGATAATGTTAAGAATAAATTTCCCAGCTTAGGAGGCAGTGAACCTCAGTTCTGTGATGGTACAAGGTCAGGGGAGTGAGAGGCTAGCACTCCACATTTCCCAATCATAAAATTGTCCTCTTTAACTGAACCTTTCATATTCTGGTCTCAGTGCAAAATTATATTCAACCAGACAAATTTGCTGGAAATTAGCAATATTTTGGCAAATGGTACTAAAGTGGATCCATACGTTTTGTTGTGTTTGAAGTGGATGCTTATAGACATCTGCCTTTTCAGCTTTCAGAACAGAGAGACATCTAACATCTAAACTTATTAAGTAAACATTGGAGCCAAAAAACAGATGTTTTATTGTATATATCAGTGACAGATGAACATAGCCACTGCCTGTGTAGTCAAGCAGCCAGAGTTTCTTTCTTTCTTTTTTTTTTCTCCCTCCCTGGGGTGGGGTGGTGTGAGACAGTCCACCTGGTACATTGACCACTATTTGGCCTATCGTACCAGCTCTGGTTGTTAAATGATGAGTGTGGAGAAGTCAGTGGAATGAGAATGGGCAGTGGAAACTGAGTACTTGGAGAAAACCTGCTGCAGTGTCACTTTGTCCACCACAAATCCCACATGACCTGACCTGGGCTTGAACCAGGGCCTTTGCAGTAGGAAGTGAGTGACTAACCACCTCAGCTATGGCATGGCCTGCAGCCAGAGTTAATGCAATTAATAAGGTCATTTGAAATATTGCACTATTTTCAGTACAGCAGAAGATGAAACAAACAAAATGCAGAGTACAAACGGGATATGTTTTGTCCTTACTTATTTTAAAAACTGAAATTTGTATAATTATCATTCATATTGTAACATGTTTGACTACTGAAGACGCCGTTCAGATTATTAATTGGTTTATTTAACAACCTACAAGTCATAACTACAAATACTTATAACACTCTTGTGGGTTTACACACTTTACAAACCCTACACAATAATCGCTTCACTTTATCTTCAGTAGTCTTCACGTATTTATAACGTGGGAGCTATACAAGTGTCACTGAATTACACACTCCCAATACCTTCTCAGTTATCACAAACTATCACTGATTATCACACATAAACTCTTCTAATCCTGCATTCAGTTCTTCTTCTTCCCGCGACTGCTGCTATATTTCAACTAACTTATAACGTCTTCTTCACGTTCGCAATTCTCTCGCTACAACTGAACTCTGCAACTGCTAGACTTCAACTGCACCAAATGCTCCAAATACTAACTGGCTTCGGGGGGCCCTGCATTTCAACTGACTGCTTACTCATTCCAGTCCCCCTTATAAACCCTCAGCTGGACAGCGGAAAATGCACCTCGCTTCCCTGTTGCATAATCACCGTGTTTACCGATTGCCTAGCAATAGTCGCTGCATGGACTCGCCTGTTGCATGACGTCACAGCCTAGCAGGGAGGGGTGTTTACTGAGCATTGCATAGGTATGTAATGTCACTCGCGGAAACGCAGAGTTCACGTGACCCCTACTTCTTGTTGTGCCATCCACGTTACACGTTTCTCTATTGAATATTGACACTTGTGAACAGTTTTTTTCAGTATTCTTTTCAAAAAGATTTTCTTGTTTGTTTTATGCACACAAAATATAAAATTTGCATTTAATAGATATTTTAAGTTTCTGATTTATGTACAAGTTATTTACAGTGAAGACTATTTCTTCTATCTAAACTGCTTTTTTAAATTTGAAAGTACAAAATGGTCTACTTTAAGGCATTTAAAATGTTCTGTAACACGTATTCCACCATGCATTTACGTGTGTCAAGCAGACATCTAAGCAGAGGTTAATACAAATTGCTTTTGCTGGAAAACTAATGCTTCTGCAGAGTAAGTGTAAAACATGTATACATGTTGTGACTGGAATGAATCTGCTTTTTAACTGTTGGTTTATTAATGTCAGTGGCATCCTCCAGTTCCCACTCGCAATTCTTTTCTGTCATCCCACTGTCCTTCTAATCCTTCTTGATCATGACAGGATGTCTTCATCTAATTTTTGATGTTCCCCTCATTTTTCTTCCTGGTGGTTTTCACTCACATCCTTGTTTAGACTTTCTGTTATCTGCCATTCTCTTCGTATGCCCATACCATATTACTTATCTTCTTATATTATCCAAATGCAAGCACAGTACACTATCTAAAAAAATATTTGGAGCTATGTGCATACCTTGAGTAAGAAAACTTGAAAAGATAATATGGTGATACAGTTATTGAATATTTTAACGTTATCCATGGACCTGCTTTTTTCTTTTAAACATTCATGCAACTGGACTGTGTCTTCATCCTCTGGTATAGAGTGTTCTCATTGGGGCACAACTGATAGAGCTAGTCCATATCCGTAGACGAGAATCTACCAACTTTGTGTTGCTGATGTAATAATCTAGGGCAGTCCATTATTATGTGATTTGTAATTTTGTCTTTCCTTGATATTTTTGAATCCATTACAACAGAAAGAAAAATGTTGTGAGCTACCTGTCAACATTGGGGGGACTGACATTTGAGCACCAAACATAAAGATGATCTGCTTTTTCTTTAGCATGCTAAACAAATTATTTATAATTATGGCTGTGTTTCTTTTTAGGTAATGATAGTGATGCAAGTCAAGAGATGGCTGATTCTGGAAACTCTCCACCAGGGAGTGTTGGCAGTGTTGGCAGTACTAGCATACATAAATATCGCAAAAAGAAGTTCCTGCGATCAGAAATTAAGACAAGGGGTGCCATATTGCCTAAATTTGCTATGAAAATAAAAGCACGTCACTTAACACGAAAACAATGGAAGGAAAATTTAGAAGATGCTTCATATGTCAGCACAAGAAGCAGTAGCTCAGTACCCAGGTACAGTCTGTTATTGGTACTCATTCAGTTCACTTGTAGCCATGTATCTTTTTAATGTGATTGTATGCTTTAATATTTTAGAATTCATGCTTACGGGTACTTATTTTAAAGGCTATGAATATTTATATAAGGTGTCTCCACCTTGTCATGGTGGTGGGGCTTGTGTGACTCTGTGACCTGGAGAACTATGCCATCAGTAGTTAAACTACCAGTAGGGTCAGGTCAAAGGGTAGAGTCCAGGCTAAGAGAGATGGTCTTCCGGGTTGGGGGTTGGGCATGAATCTAACAACCTTATCCTGTAAAAAGAATTTTGTTCAGAAACCTAACAGCCAGCCTCGTGTCATCATGCATGGATCCATTCCTCTGGCAGCACACATTGGTGGTGGAGACTGGTTGTGGAGGAGGCCCTCAGGGCTGTGGTGCAAAGTTTGGGGTAAACATTTTGGTATGATTGTGACACAGTAGTTTGAAACAAGGAGATTTTGTTTCAATTTTGCCATTAGGAAGGTCAGAGAAAAGTAGGAGGGACTGAATTTGAATGAGATGCATCAGCCTATGGCTTGTGGTGATAATGTTAATGTGCTGGGAAAGGCACAAATACCTTAAAGAACACAGAAGCTGTATTAGACACAGGTACAAAGGTTAGTCTACATGTAAATGCAGAGAAGACTAAGCATAGCTTCTAAATGTTCTTATCAGAATCCAGGGCATAATCATAATACAGAGACAGCTAATAAACTCCTGAAAAATGTAGCATAGTTAAAATGTCTGGAAATCTTGGTTAAAATCAAAATTACATTCATGAAAAAATGAGACATTTTAAAAACTGAAAAAAGCAGATGTCTTTTGAGAGGTGTGTTAAGAAACCAAGAAATATAAACTTCTTAAGAAGGAAAACATTTTAAAATGGTAGACATTAGAATGTTTACAGAATTAATTATATCCCTGTAGAAAACTAATGGCATAGACATAATATTTTTATGTTGAACAAATGGCTTAAAATTCCCTTAATACACAGGCATACACTACATATTCCTGTTGTCATGATTAAAGTTGTATAGTCTGTTTGGAAATTATCTTTCTTGAACATGCCTAATGGAAACATGTTCCTCCGAAACGCTGGTTGACTTTCAATGTACTACACCACATTATATTGCAGAATATAGGAATCTTAATAACCACCTCAAATCCTACATACATAATGTTGTTTGTTTTATAAATTTGAAGTAAAATTTTCCATTTCCCAGAGGTGTCTGACAGTTGACACTGACACATAGAGAATGCCACTGAGGAAGTCATGGTACACATCCCAACACTGCATTGCTTCACAATACTTAGGAATCAGTTTACACATTACTATCTCTTCTTCCTTGTCTTCAGTACCGAGGTTGTCAGTTTCCTGAACTACACAAGGAATAAGATTGTCATCAGCCTCTGCATACTCTTCACATGTGAACATAACATTCTTCATCTACTGAATATCTCCTCAGATTCGTGCACTTATGTCAGAAACAAGGGGTACACGGTAGCATAGTGGTTAAGGTACTATGCTACAAGCCGGAAGGTTGCGGGTTCAAGTCCCGATGAAGTCATTGGATTTTTTTTCAATTGACTTAATCCTTCCAGCCGCACTAGGACCTGGGGTTTACTCAGCCTCTAACAAATTAGTACCAGGAATTAATTAAATAATTTTCCTGGGGAGTAAAGCGCGGCCGGCGCGTAAGGCTGACAAACTTACCTTAAATAACTTACCCTTAACGTCTCACAACCCTACGGACCTTCACGGCTTGTTACAGGGATAGTTTGGTTGGTTGGTTGGTACAAATACACATCACTTTTTTTACTTTTTATATCAGAAACATTGTCTTTTTTACTGTGAAGTTCTGTGTCTTACAGAATCTGGTCTTGTGATAACAATTGCAGTAATTTAATGACGAACAGCATTCCATAACATCTGCAAGCTTGGATATAACATAAAACAGACATACTTTGTAGCATTTCTTTTATGCATGAGATATTTGAGCTGACATGACCTTTTTTTTTTTTTATAATGCAGTAATAAAAACCACCAAGTATAACATGTAGTAGTTAGAAACTTTATTTATTATATAAAATATGCCATATACTTCTTTTGGCCCTGTTGATAATTGAGTAATAAAAACCCTCTTAGGCTGAAATATGTAAGGTATATTTTATTCAGTGAGTAAAGTTTCTGATTACTGTGTGTTATGGTTGATAGTTTTTATTAATCCATTATCAATACTTAGCATCCTTTGGTGGTTATTTTCTGCAGGAACTTGCAAACAAGGCCTCTATGATATTCATGTTTCAAAGCCCCGATTATCCCTTGGTCCATTGGTTGTAGGGCTGCAGAAATTCTACTCACACATTTCTTAATTTACTGGTAACTTTGGCATGTATTGCACATTTGTCTAAGGATTGGCTGCCATTCCCTTTCCAAAGATGATAGGAACTCTATGAGCACTGCACAACTTCTCCTTGCTCTACTGTTATATCTGTATGTACATGGCAGGGACTTCACATTCAAAGTGTACCTTGGCTTCTCTGGCTTTCCAGTTACTGGCAAAGGTATCTTTTCATATCCATCCATATTGTCACATGCATTGGTGACTAATAACGTGGGTTCTGGATTGGCTGAGCAGGTTTATTTACTCCTTATGCACACTACCAGTAATTACATGTAATTATAGTGCTATTGCTATTTCTACACTTTATAATTCACTGTTACACCCACACCAGTCGTCTCCTGGTAACACTGTTAAAGCACAGGAACTATAAGTCTCGCTGAATTACACACTCTAGATATTACACCTAAAGTCTTCTTTTCACAGTCACACTCTTGCAACTAACGCTTAACTACACTGCATTGTACTGCACTCTGCACTAATCTAAGCATCAACAGGTCCTCGTTATATAGGTTCTGCACGGACAACACAGAAAACAGAAGTCACACAATTCCTAGCCAGCAAGTTCATTGGAGCACTGAGTGTTGCCTAGCAACAAGCTATAACATTCGTCCACTGAGACTCATCTTATGTTCTTGCACGTTTGATGTGTTTACCAAGCCGTTGCCTAGCAATACTTTGAGCAAATCCATTATAATATTTACACATACAAGTATAGTTACTCTGTCTTCCTACTCTTGCCCTCTTGACAGCTTTAAAGGCATATGTTTTCAAAGTAGGAGTAGGTTGAAAAACAATCCATGCTTATTTGCATGAAACATGTCCTTTGCGTTGTATTCACGAATGCTTCCAGGCACCTGCTTCCTCTTTAGCCATACTTTGGATTCCCTGATCATGCCATCCACTCAGAGGTATGAATTCAGTGCTCTGTTTTAAGGCTATATTTCATTCTTCTGTCTCAACGCTGGACCGTAAATTGGTGTACGTAATGCCCATTTCTGTCTAAACCATTTGAGGAGTACTGATTCAATGTTTTCATGTTTAGAGGTTTTTAACTTTTTTCTGACTGGCTGAGTAGTTGCACAGTGCTGAATTGTGCCTTCTTATTCACCATACTGTTGTTTAGTGTTGGCACTTCCAAGCTTAATTTAGGCCGTGCCATAGCTCAAGTGGTTAGTTACTGGCTTCCCACCATGACGGCCCAGGTTCAGTCCTCGGTCTGGTCAAGTGGGATTTGTGGTGGACAAAGTGGTGCTGGGGCAGGTTTTCTCCAAGTACTTTGGTTTCCCCTGCCAATCTTCATTCCACCAATTGCTCCACAATCACCCTCACCTATCATCTGGGGCTGGTACAATAGGCCAGAAGTGGCCGCAGTACAAGGGACTTAGTCCCACCCCACTAGCAATAAAAAAAAATACGAGCTTAATTGTTCTTTCTTAATGATCTCCCATTTCTGAGAAACCAATAATAACTTACTTTTTGTATTTGTTATTGTAGTCATACAATTATATGTCATACACAGATCAGTTTAGTTTCATGCAACTTCACAAAAGTCAACACTGATACATAACTTTGCATATAAGTACCATGCTGCCAGCTGGACAGACGGAGAAGGTCATAAAGTAATCACTAATTCTGCCCAACTTCTACCTCTCACCAAGTGCTGCTGAGTGATGCTAAGCACTGCAACATGTTTGATTATGTGGGTGTCTGCTTTGTTTTCATTTCTTTATGTATGTATACAGTATAATCTGACAAAACTTATATGATGGGTGAAATGTTTGATATATATCTTTCAAACTGTGCTTATGCAGGATATCTTTTTATATGGGAATATTTTAAATAAGATATCAAGGGAATGTACAGCCAGTTCAGTCCTTCAGTCATATGGATAACCCTGTAAGGGAATGAATGTCTGTGAAGATTGTGCTCTGAAGGGAATCAACCCACTTCAGTGTAAACAAGCTGTCGTTATTTTGAGATAGATTTATTGCAGATATACTGAATGTGTTGGCATAGAAGTAATGCTCTTGACTCAGATTCAGGAGGTGCTCAGTTCAAATATTGGCTGGAATACCGACTATTTTCATAGAGGCTTTTTGTGGTTTTTCTTGGTTTCCCCATGCAAATTGTGGCATAGGACCCTGTTACCACTTCCTTAAAAATCGTTTTCTATTGCATTATTCATCTGTTCTCTGCCATTCAGCACTGTATAGTCTAGTTAAGGCCACGTCATAGCTCAAGCGGTTAGTTGCTGGCTTCCCACTGTGGCGGCCTGGTTTCAAACCCGGGTCGGGTCAAGTGGGATTTGTGGACAAAGTGGCACTGGGGTTAGGTTTTCTCTGAGTACTTCAGTTTCCCCTGCCAATCTTCATTCCACCAATTGCTCCATCATCATAATCACCCAGGGCAGGTACAATAGACCAATCAGTGGCCACTGTGCCGAGTGGACCCAACTGTACTCCACCCCCCACTGTGCAAAAGAAATGTAGTCTAGTTACTGACAGTATTATAAAATAACCACAAAGAAAAATTATCGCACATACTGATATTTTGATGACAGAGCCACTCCACTGTTCAAATACTGTTCTGCATCATGGCATAAATCATTTTGTCATTTATTTGTTAGACGTATCAGTAGATGTGCCTTACAGACCTCACAGATTTTATGTAAGTTTCTTTTGTATAGGGAAGCAATTTTATTCTTTGTTGATGTGAGATATCTGAAGTTCAGTAAATTTAAATTAAGCCAGTAGGAATAAAGATTACATATGCTCATCAGTTTTTAACTGCATAATTTTGGAAATTAAGTATTCAAATCAGCATGTATGGCCTCATTATGCATTTGTATTCTCATCTTACATAGTCTGATAGAATTCACCAGTATTTTTGGACGAATGTGTTGCCTCCTGCTTCTTGCAGTATGTTTGCTTGGCATACTCTATAACCCTGAAGGTGGAAGCAGTATGTTCCTTCAAAATGTCAGTGAACTTCCACTGGACTACATGAAATCACATCACAGGTGATCATACTCTGCATTGTCACCATTGTGAGAATATCAAATCCAGCATCTTATTGGTTATCCAATTGTTCCGGTTTAGGCTGATGTCTGTGTCATGAAACATTGTTACATTTAGTGTGTTGTAAGCGGCCTCCATAGTCTAGGGGTAACGTTCCCACCTCATGACTCAAGGTACGCGGGTTCAAACCCAGCGGAGGTCGCGGAATTTTTAAGGGCGGAAAAATTCAGGGAACAAGTCCTCCGGGAGGGACTATAAGCCGTGGGTCCCGTGTCATAGATTTACGGCACGTAAAAGATCCTCATGTCTCTAGGAGACCTCTGAGCAAAATTAGGCAAAGTTTCCTGCCCAAGTAGTTTCCAATGCCTCCAGTAGATGGGGAAGTATCGGGAACCACTGCCAGCTTTGCTGGCCGAACAGGGCTGATAACAAGCACCAGTACTGGTAGAATATCAAAGGGGGATGTACAATAGACTATTAGTCACGGTGCATGGGGAAACCCACCCCCTCCAATAATAATAATAATAATAATAATAATAGTGTGTTGTTGCATAAATTTTCTTTTCATATCCAGACTTTTGTTTCAGTTTTCCCCATTGTTATTTAGTTTGACAATTGCAAGTTCTGGTCCATTTTAGCATCATACCATTGAAGATACCTGAGAAAACTGAAGACAGTGTGCAAGCTGACAGTCTGAGTAGCCTGGTTTCACTGCGTACCAGAGGACAGCAGTTGATGAATGATCAGATTGAGCTTGACTCAAACCCTCTACATTGGACGCAGGAGGATGTATATCAGTACCTCATCAAAACGGATGATTGTGCTGATATAGCACAAAAGTGCAAAGATGAGGTATGGTATATTGTTGAGGAAATCCTTTCACATAGTAAAGTAGAGGTTTCAGACTTCCGGCAGAAGTACTGAGTAGCTCATACCATCAGCCATTATTTCCTAAGACATTACAGGTTAGTTCTGAATCAGTAAGGTGAAAAGTCTAATGAAGGTAAAGTTGTCCCTGTACTTAATCATTTAAGCACCATGGCATGAACAGTGACACTATATTGTGCAGGACAGACTCCATGTTAGAATGAGTGGCTGATGTAGTTATGCACAGCATGTGAGTCTTTTGGTGAACATTGTTTAAGCTGAACAGCAGTTTCTGAATGACATTTGTGTTTCAAGGCCAGTCACATGTCAGTTAAAGAAGACAAACGTTCAAGGCGACCAATCACCAGCAAAATAACTGAAATTATTGAAAAAATTAAAAGATCTCATCCACAAAGACTGTCACTGAACAATCCATGAGCTTGCAGACACCTTTTGGATCATGTATGGAGTTTGCCNATTTCCAAAAGCCTATTGCCTTAGTCTGTCACGTGACATCTCGCTTTGAACACGCATTGTTTCTACACGAGTGCTTTTTTGACTTATTGTTTCGTTTTGTCTGCAATGGATGGAAAAATTGAGCAACATGTCTGTGTCAAGTTTTGCGTGAAGCTCAGTAAATCTGCTACCAAAACCCTTGANTGTGTTTCAAGGCCAGTCACATGTCAGTTAAAGAAGACAAACGTTCAAGGCGACCAATCACCAGCAAAATAACTGAAATTATTGAAAAAATTAAAAGATCTCANTTTGCAATGGATGGCAAAATTGAGCAACATGTCTGTGTCAAGTTTTGTGTGAAGCTCAGTAAATCTGCTACCGAAACCCTTGAAATGCTTTGTGAGTCTTTTGGTGAACATTGTTTAAGCTGAACAGCAGTTTCTGAATGACATTCGTGTTTCAAGGCCAGTCACATGTCAGTTAAAGAAGGCAAACGTTCAAGGCGACCAGTCACCAGCAAAATAACTGAAATTATTGAAAAAATTAAAAGATCTCATCCACAAAGACTGTCACTGAACAATCCATGAGCTTGCAGACACCTTTTGGATCATGTATGGAGTTTGCCAGGAGATTTTAACAGAAAATTTCACCCAACCACAACTTGCTTCTTCAACACAACACGCTTGCCCACACACCCCTGCAGACCACAGAGTCTGTGACTAACAACAACATGTTTACCATTCCCCATCCACAGTTCTTTTGAAGCATGAAAAGAAATGATGGGATCACTATATATGTTCCCAAGGAGACTATTTTGAAGGAGATGGCAGCCAAAGTTGAGTAAGTTAAGCCAGCATTTCTTTTTTGACCTAGTCTGGGAGCTGTGATACACTTCATGTATGACATGCTACGTCATCTCTTCTCCATCATCTTCAACTGCCATTTCAAGAGAACTCTCTCGTTCCTTCTCATTATGTAGACTTGGGGCGGCCCCAAGGGAAAACACCGTTTTCTAACAATACCTCTCATGTTATATAGGTTTGTTTACCTCGCCATTGCATAGAAATGGTAATTTTTCTATTGTTGTGTGCGTGTTTATTTCCACAAGAACCCGTTTACCGAGTCGTTGCCTAGCAATGAACGTCTGCCCTTGCTCCACTATTCCGGCTTTCAGGCGTCATGTCACATTGCTCCCTCAAGGCTATTCATTTCAAATGGCCTTCAGGCATACCGCCATTTCTTCTCTAAGGGCTGTGCTTTTGACGTCTGTGATCGGTCTCACCTTTCTTCCTGTGGCTTGGCTTTTCCATGGTGTCTACTCTGCAACTGGTTGTCCTGAGCAGTTCCCTTATAAGGTGCAAGTCAGTCAAAGTTTATCACCATCTTCCTCAGACTGGTGCAATCAACAGTTCTGAGAGTGGTGAGTGGTCCTATAATTATGACTCTTAGACTGCTGCTATGCTCTTCTTTCACTTCAAAGTTGGCTGACCCCTCCACAATGTCGAGTTGCTCATTTTTCATATCCTGACACAAGACCTGACTGTTCACTTCACGATCTTCAGCATGTAAGTTTGTCCACAGGCCTCATACAATGTCCTCATGTTTCTCAGACATGGTTCCTATCTCCTGCCTCATCCTCTCCTGTCGTTCTTCAAGCACAGTTGCTCCATAACATCTCGGTCCCTTATGCCGTTATTGTATTCTGGTTGCACCCGATGCCTCCTTCCGAAAGTTTATCCTTTCTGGATTCCTTGTACAACATTGTCCCTGGTCTGTGTTTTCCATGGCCTCTGTCTGACCATCGGACCTACCTGTATATGACTGTGGCCCTTATGCCATCTCACTCCTGCATGGTGGGTCATTCCTCTGCAGGTAATGGCCATCTTCCAGGACCCGCCATTTTCCTAGGTCTGTTTCTTCATCTTTTTTGGTACCCTACAGCTAGATGCTAATCCCCATGCTGCTCCTTCAGTGCTCCACAAGTTTTCACTACAGCCTTTTCCTTAGGGTCCTCCTCATGCTCTGCCTCAGACTCCTATCTCCAGTTGGCTCCTTGCTCTCCTGTCAGGCTTCTGTTGCTTCTTGGCAACATGTCCTCATTTCCTCTAACCAGGTATCCATCTTGACTGGCGTTCATCCACTTTTGCTAGCAAGCATTCCATCATTTGTTCCATTTTCGTAGTGCTGCAGTCTTCAGCTCAGCAATTCAATGCATTCAATCAGTCAGTCCGGTCCTGCTTGTGACATGTATTTTGGGGTGTGCATGATTTATACACAGGTTTTGCATTGATAACTGGATTTATTGCACACTTGTATAACCTGTTACTATACTTCATAAACCACTATATGACACATTCCTTTTCTTCTCCATCATCTTCGATTGCCATCTCAAGAGACAACCTGTTCTTCTTGTTATACAGCCTTGGGGCGGCCCCAACAGCAACGCCATTTCCTAACAATTCCTGCCTCGTTACAAAGGTGTGTTTACCTCGCCGTTGTGTAGAAATGATAGCTCTTCTAGTGTTGCATGTGTATTCATTTCCACGGGAACCTGTTTACCGAGTCATTTTCTATCAATGAACTTCTAATCTGGCTCTGCTATTCCAACTTTCAGGTGTCATGTCACAATATAATTCCATACATGCTTTTAACCCATGTAGACCCAGTATTGTTGAAAAAGAATATTTCTAACCATTATTCTTTTTCCTTTGCAGCTAATTGATGGGCAAGCATTCATGATGCTGAACTTTCCAACTGTCAGAGAACATTTATACCTTGGGCTGAAACAGGCAGTTCGGTTGTGTAAACATATAGAACGAGTAAAGCTTGCATTTTACCTACAGTACATCACTGGCAGTGAACCATAAAGATTAAATTACTGTATTATTCAGTAAGTAGCACAATCCCTGTTCATATTTTAACAGAAAATTATTAAGTAAAGCAATAAACCAGCAGAAGCAGATGGCAAGCTGATTTCTACACAGTGTAGTTTGGAGAGATCCCTACGTTTTGGAGGAACATCTCACCTTCATCTGCAAGATCAGAGGGTAAATAAAGCAGGAACAGGTGGCAGACTGAGTTTGACGCCATGTAGTTTGGAAGGAGCTCAATGTTTCTTGCTTGACTTACTCTATGACCTAAGAATGGAGTGAAATTGAGTGTCTTAGGTCTTTAAATAACCCATTATACCAGCCATGGATGATAGCTGAGAGAAATACAGCAGATGGTGGAGTGTGAATTGGTAGGCAAAACAGCAGTACTCAGAGGAAACCTATCCCATTGCCTCTTTGTTCACCAGAAATCCCGTATGAACTCCTAGGATTGAACCGATGTTCTCATGGTGGTACAGGTCATGTATCCAGACCAGACCTCTTGGACTTCGCATAGGAAAAGTATATCAAGAAGAAGCAGAGCATTGGTTATAGCTGCATTGTGACAGAGTGGGTGGAAGGGTATGTGAGATATTAATTTGGCATAAATGTTAGATATTTTCCATTATCTTTAGATAATAGCATGAAGGTTCAAAAGCTGTATCTGCTTCCATCAAGCAGAACTACCAAACCTACTGTATTGCGTCCGCCAAATCAACGTAATCTCTTCCAGTGGCCCCAGCAGAAAGATATCACATTTTTGCCTGATGATGATGATGATGATGATGATGATAATAATATTCCTTCTATCTGTGTAGGTAGTTTCAAACATATGAAGGAAAAGTTAAGGTCGCAAGTTTTTCCCACAACCTCTTCATTTTATTTCTTGATTCCTAATTCTGATAATTAATTAAATATCGGTGCGTGAAGTCACTGTAAGTCCAGCCTCACTTAATCAGCACACTGAAATTACATTGGCCCCACATCTGTCTCATGTCTGTCTACTGTTCGCCTGATGTAAAGGCTATGACACCAAGGGGTCCGACACTCTACCCGCAAATAGGGGCACAGAATTCACTCGGTGTACGATTATCGCCAAGAAAGGGTGGTTAGCGTTGAACTCCAGCTCATCTGGGTTCACTAATAGACTTAGAGTTGCCACGAGAATCCCTGTAACATAGAACACCTCATTAGATACATGGTAACATGTTTATCAATGCAGTTGAATAGATTACAGAAATTGCTAATAAAACTGTTGAGAATGTGTCTCAGTTGCAGTGTTTGTTAGCAAGATTGATATATGCAATTACACACACAGTATGATTAATATCAGAATAAATTAAGGAAATTCTTGCTACTATTATGTTTAAAATTTTTATTTTCTTATCCAAAAGGTTGGTTATGATATGCAAAACTGTATAGTGTTCTTTTTAGCTTTAAATCACAATGATGTAAAAAGACCCGAAGGAGCAGCAAGCAAGTTACTCTGAACCATCGATAATTTTAACCATACTGACACAGTGCTGTGCCTAAATGACTCTGATGTGAATATGGGCATCTGTGTAAACCTTGAGACGCGTTAAATTTTACATATTCTTTTACATGCTCGTGAAAGTTTGTTTTCTCCTTGAAAGGAAGAACATAGATCGGCAGTGTCGGAGGAAACACTTTAGCAAAATACTGCGATGCAAGATAGATGAAGTAATAAAGGATGGAATGTTACATGATGATAAGCTTTAAAATTTACAATCACCAGCTTCTATTTTTGGCCTACTTTCTTTATTTTGAAAAAATGAAAAGAAGCTAATGAGATCACCATGCTGTTTGTCATGCCAGTGTATCCCCCTTTTAATTTTTGTTAGGTTTATGAGATCACCTTGCTGTTGTCTGTATTCCTCCCCAGTTTTTATTAGAATTATGAGATTATCTTGCTGCCTGTGAGTGTCTTCTTCTGATTTTCATTAGGAAGCTTATGAGATCACCCTATTATCTATGTGTGTCCCCCCACATTTCTTTCATTTTCTATGCAGTCCATGTCATATCAAAGGAATGCAGGCGATTAGTTCTTCACAGAACTCCTTGTTAGGATAAGTAAGTCACGAAACATGAGCTGGTTGGTATATGTAGCACAGATTGGGGAAATAAGAAAACTTCAGAATTTTCTGGCCAGAATCCTGCAGAAGAAATTGCTTGCAACACTAGGCATGTGTGGAAGAATAAAAAAAGTATGGCTTAGAGAAATGGACTGTGAAAGTGTGACCAAACTGGAACTACTTAGCTCCCAGTGGTGGGGTACTATAAAAATGGTTATGAACTTTGTGTCTCAATAATAATAGGGAATTTATGGACAAGTTAAATAAATATCTATGCAAGAAAACATTGGGTAAGTTATATGATTACATTTTTCATATGTAGGAAGCAGTCATGCACAGTGTGTCCAGGTTCTGTTAGGACTATGTTCATTAAAAATACAAGATGTGAATTATTTTCAAAATTTCACTCTTTTTATTCATAATAGTCTCCTTCTGAATCAATACATAGCTTGAATTGATTGAAAAGTTTTCAAAAACAGTCACTGTACTCCTTTTGTGGAATCGCGTTCAAAACTATGGTACATTCCCTTTGGATGTCCTGGATGGTGTCGTGACGGTCTCCTTTCATCAGCAACTTAACTTTTGGGAACAACCAGAAATCTGCTGGGGCCAAATCTGGCGAATACGGAGGATGATCAAGGACTGTGATCCCTTTTATAGCCAAAAAATCGTGCGTGATCTTCGATTTGTGGGGTGGGCTATTGTTGTGGAGGAGCGACCAGGAACCTTGCTCTCGGTATTCAGGTCAAATTCAAAGAATTCTCACCCACAAATGATTGAGGACTCCAAGATAATAATCAGAATTCACTGTTTGACCTTCTGGCAGAAATTCCTTGTGAATTATACCTTTGGAATAGAAGAAAATGGTTAGCATTGTCTTTACTCGACTCTTTTGCATGCGCGCTTCCTTTGGTTTCGGCTTCTTTGGGCTCAACCACACTGCACTCTGTCACTTTATGAGAGGCTCATATTCAAAACACCATGTCTCGTCACCAGTAACAATCGAGTTTGTAAATTTTGTTATCACTTTGGGCCTACTGTAACATGTCTTTGCCATGTTCCACTGTGGCATGTTTTTCATTGCCTGACACCATGTGCGGTACAAACCGCGCACAGACCTTCTGTATGCCCAAATCCTCGCTCAAAATTTGATGCACAGTACTTTTTGGTATTCCCAAAAGCTCCTCAATGAGTCTTGCAGAAATACATCTGTCTGATGCAAGGATTTAGGTCACTTTTTTCACATTTTCTTCAGTGCGACTTGTTCTCGGCTTTGATGCACGTGGAGCGTCTTCAATGTCCTCCCTGCTGTCACGAAATACAGCATACCATCAAAAAATGTTCGAACAACTCAAACAATCACTACCATACACACTTTTCATCATTTCATACACTTCTCCAATTGTTTTGCCTAACTTAAAACAAAATTTGATGTTGGCTCTCTGTTCAACCGCCATTTTCCGACAAGCGTCAGAACAGTACTGTTACATTCAAGGTCAGAACACATGATGCAGCAATGCTTGCGCTTTGAAATTATAGACAGCCACAGCTGAAACTTCAAGAATCTTAATGCCACAACTCGCCAACAGATGGCATTGCAGGGCAAAATTTAAAAAAAATGAGTCCTAACGGATCCTGGACGCACTGTGTATATTCCTTGGGTTTTTCTGCTCAGATTCAAGGATGCATGTATGTCACATTACCCTGACTTAAGTAATGGCAGGTACTTTTTCTTGCAGGGGGTGCTTTAAATTATTTTCTTCACATTTCTGTTTTGTTATCTGATTACTAATTCCATGGAGCAGATTGCTTATTCAGAAGTTAATAGTTGCTTAGCAAGAAATTTCCCATCTTTTATAGACCATGAAGGTTCACTACTGTGTTCACAAGAGCGAACCATTGGACATTTCTTGACCAGCTGAATGATTATCAGAGTCTCAAGAAGTTATTTTCCTGATGGAGTTAGGCCTATACCATCTTGAAACCTAACTCAGTATCTTTACTCTGTTACTAGCTAAGTGTTATGTTAGTGACAAAGCCCAAATTTGGACCAAGGGTGTGATGTCATGCCTGGTCAGGGGTGTGGCACATCTCAGAGGGCAGCGAGAGAGGAATATGGAGTTATATTAGAATTATGATGCGCAGGAAAGCAATTAGGAATCTTGGGGAAAGGCCTGCTCCAATCCCACTTTGTCCATCATAAATCTCAAATTAATTCACCAAGAATTGAACCCAAGGCTCTGCTTGATAAGCCTGCATCTAAGCACCATGGCTATTACTGAGCCTTATATAATTTTAACAAAACCTAATTAATCTCAGTCGTGCTCCAGTAGATCACAATGCCATGGCATGAACTTGCTTCATCAGAAGTCAACAAATTTTGGCTCGGTTCACCAGTCAGACAAAAATTCTACTTGTCATAAATTTCTTCACAAGTGAAAATGTGCCTCCCATGTGGCTGTATAATTCTTCTGCACCTTCCCACTTACTGTCACATAACACATGGGGCATATAAAATACCTTACTACAAGGAATAGTTTTACTAGACTTTTCTGAGTCAAAGATTCAAATCAGAATTGGCCTTGCCTTCTTTTGCATTGTCTACCTCTTTTTCTACCTTTCATGAAATTCGTAAATTCATAAATCACCTTTCAGGAAATAGGAAACACTTTGTTTGGCATTAATTTTTTTTCTGATTGGTTTCTGATATATTCTATATACCTGTATCCTGAAACAGCCTTTAGGTGGGATGTAGAATGCCTTCTCTTATATAACATGTCTGCAGTATATCATTTGCTGTTAAAATTTAAACATTTGGTGAGAAAAAGCAAGTCCTGGGAAGAACTACTGCTGAATTGCTGCTGGCTGTCACCAACACAGTCATTCATAGTTTCATGTTCCATTGGACTTATGACTCTGGGAGCCTTCAGACTCTCAGGAAGAACTAATCACATACGTTCCCTTGATATTACATGGACTGCACAGAAAACGACGCTTCCAACAAGTCTTCTATTGTTGCGTATATGTTCATTGCTGCGGTAATGTTTTCTTTCCAAGCTGTTGCCTAGCAACGTTAGGGGGATACTCATTTGGACACAGATAATGATAGGAGGAATTTATGAAGCACGCTGTTAAGATGAACCAGGTGCCATGATATATATACAAAGTTTCATAAAGATTAGTTAAAGCATTCAGAACTTGATAAGGGGGGATTAACAGATACACAGACATTGTTATCTCATAAGCCTGCTTCTGTTTCTTTTTTTTTTTTCAACATGATGGAAGTAAGGCTAATGAAAAAGAGGGAGAGAATTAAAGAATTTGAGGTTCTCATAGCAGTAACTGAGAAGACTAATAGCTTCTGAAATGCAATACCGTGTAATCCACTAAAATTTTATTAATGTTTAGGAGGAACATATATACCAACTGAGCATCCGCCACTTGTCGGTGAAGTTAGTGCCAACTTTTGCAGATAGAGGGTGTCACGTGACTGCACAATGGATTCCCATGGCTGTTAATCTCGGTTTTCTAGACTGGAGCCACTGTTTCCTTGAAGTAGCTCCTCAGTTATCCTCATGATGCTGAGTGGACCCCATTGCAGACCCACTACTTCTCAGAAAATCTGGTAGGACCGGAGCCGGAGCAGAGCAACAGCTCGGAAATCACATTCCCGCTACCATAAATAGCAATGAACAAGTTTTTGCCAGATAGCAAGTTGCTAAACACAAGATTCCCATGGCAACAAACAGAATAACAGAGGACAATTAACTCCTCGACTTGGTAACTTATATTTGGGCCATGCAACTGTTATTAAAAGGTAGTTCGTTCATGAATTTGAGTAGCAATAGAAATCAGTCCGAGATTCTCCATAGAGATTTGTCAGACAGACTTTGTTCAGGAGGAGTTCAGTGTGTTCTTATAATTGGCTCTAATTGTAAAGAAGTGCCAGTGAAACCAATCATCAGATCCACATGAACAAGCAGTGAAGTGGCGCGTGAGTCCTGTACAGGAGGCAAGTACCTGTCGCTGCTGAAGCGGTCCCTCCTTTCTCATTGACCTCAAGCTCTGCTTTGTGCACAATATCAGACACAGTAAGTGTTGCATTCTGAGTTGTGATTCCTCCAAGGTTTGAATTAATGGTGAATATATCCATTAGGCCCAGCTGAAAGTAAAGGATTCTGTCATTTATATCTCAGATTGTAAAGTGCTTGTGGTCACCAAGTCTTAAGTCATAAAGGACTTAAGATAATAATATATTATAAAAGAGTAATTAATATGTGACAAAGAGATTAAATGTTAAGGTTATAAGTGGCTATGATGAAACACTGTATTCTGTAATGAATATAAAGAAATAAGAAAGCTATCAAGGAAACAACAGTTTAACAAAGAAACAGTATCTCAGGCCAGACAAACGACAACAAGACAGAAGAAGATCTTGATGACATTACCACAGTTAATCACACATCTGAATTTGAATTATCTTGGCCCACAACTTGCGTAATGACACGCCAATTGTACTGGCTTGAACTTGTTAACTGAAGAAAGTGAAAGCCATTCTGTCCACAAAATTTCACGGTCATATTTTCATATTTTGGCTCAGACATTGAGTTACTAACAGTGGATTTAAGGGGATCATAATGTCTTAAGTGGCAACTCTGTTCTCACCTCCTTCAGTATGGGAACTAGTGACATCTGTGTGCTCAGTTTGAAGCGAGGCAGTGCAAGGTAGACCTGCTTTGTACCCCTTGTGCCCAGCATGTTAGAAAGATGCTGATACTTCATCTGAGACACCAGTTTATCCAAACCATGCTTTTCATTTGGTAGAACCAATACCATAGAGAACTCTTCACCCTGCAAACAGAATAACTTTATCAGTGTGTCTACTTTCCAGAATTAACATAGCAAATTATATTAGATTAAATTGAAGGGATGGGCAGTGTTATGCCCTTAAGGCCATATGGGGGAGTAAATAGGAACCTCCAGGGCAAAAAAAAAATATATGTATTGAGAGAATGATGTGACCAGAAGGAAGCAGTAATGCAGAACAGGCTTGCCTCATGGCAGGCAAGACTTGCTTGGAGATGCTGGTGTAGCACTTGTACCATATGTAGCAATTGTTACCATAAAAGCCAGGACAAGAGGACAACTACTTATGAATAGAAGTCAGCTATTAATTACCCTAGGTTGGGGATATACAAGAGCCATTCAATAGACAGTTTTTAGGTGCCACCAGGCACAATTCCTATGGTCACCTTGACGTTGTTAGTGTCAATTTGCACAGCAGACGGTGCACTCCTAATAGTCAAGCCACCCCATAGCAAGTCTACAGCAAACCATGGGTTCAGCAGAGCAGCTTCACTTGCCTTACTGAGTAATCAACCAACCAAAGTGTATGAGTAGGGCTTGACTAGCAACACCGTGGCATCAGCAGAGCAGCTTCACTTGCCTTACTGAGTAATCAAACAGCCAGAGAGCATGAGTAGGGCCGGACTAGCAACAACGTGGGATCGGCAGAGCAGCTTCACTTGCCTTACTGAGTAATCAAACAGCCAGAGAGTATGAGTAGGACCTGACTAGCAATACCGTGGGATCGGCAGAGCAGCTTCACTTGCCTTACTGAGTAATCAAACAGCCAGAGAGCATGAGTAGGACCGGACTAGCAACACTGTGGAATCGGCAGAGCAGCTTCACTTGCCTTACTGAGTAATCAGACAGCCAGAGAGTATGAGTAGGGCCTGACTAGCAACACCGTGTGATCGGCAGAGCAGCTTCACTTGCCTTACTGAGTGATCAAACAGCCAGAGAGTATGAGTAGGGCCTGACTAGCAACACCGTGGCATCGGCAGAGCAGCTTCACTTTCCTTACTGAGTAAGCAGACAGCCAGAGAGTATGAGTAGGGCCTGACCTAGGATGTGTAGGACGAATTGAATGGAATTAACAAGTTCAGTATGCTTCAGTCACATACTTGTACATACTGTGAGATATTAATGATGTAAATAGATGTCCTATTTTGTTCGAGTTTATTCCAGTACCCGCTCTTCCAAAGACACTTTTACAGTTAGAGACTGTGTGCTGGCAGCAACCAGTGAAAATAGGCTAAATTTAGTGTGGACCTTTCCTGATACCCTGTTCTCAAATCCCATACCTCCAAAGGTCACCCTGTCTATACTGACCCTTTTGAGAGGCCAGCTGGCTAACAGGGTAGGGATTGCAACTGTGGACAAAGGTAGCTAAGGCAGACCTCTCAACTGTAAGCTGGAGGTAGCTCAGGTACGCAGTGCCCAAGGTGTCTCCATGCTTCTACCCACCCACCAACATAGCTGCCCTTTTCATTGAAAACACTATTGTGTAACAGGTAGTAAATGACCCTTACATCATCACTGCCTGCAATCTATTATGCATCCCATTTTTAAGATTAGCCTGCTAGCAGTCTCGTCCTTTGAATGAAGTGCAGTATTTTGCTTCAAATGGTCTTTAATTGTCACCTGGCTTCGTGGAATGGTGACCCAGGTTCAGGAATTTTACTTCATCTAGAATCTGACAGTCACGTATGAAACTGTTTCTTCTTTGCCATTGCACCTTTTGCAGGTGGGACTATTTACCTGTCCCGGGTGTCCTTTCAAGTGTCAGTGTCCTGTAAACAGTTCTGTTAAATGTCTCAACTCATTCCTGTTTTGCTCTAACCCTTCCCTCATTCTTCTAATATAGAATTCCCAAATGAAGACCTTTACACTTCATTTATCCAGATACAGACTTCCAGTATTCTTAGCGGTGTCTATTCATTCAGGCTCTACTAATGGAGATCCTGATAAAGGTCTTGCCAAATGATCAGTAACTTTATTCCCTTCAATTCATCTGTGACCTTGTAGCCATATCACTTGTACTCTGGCATGTAAATCAGTGTAATAACTCCCAGTTTTATTAAAATTCTGTTATTGGAGCCTGCCCAGACTCACATCAAATTAGTCCATATCATGTGTGATATTTCCTTAGGTTGTGTTTTGTTACTGTCCTGTGTTATATGGCTTAGTATGCCAAGCGGTCATACCACCAGTTGTGTTTTTCTCAAAGCAATGCAGTAAAGGGTTAGATAATACATCGGACTTGCATTCGCAAGGTACCCAGTTCAAATTTCGGCCAGAACACAGACTGTCCTGATTAAGGAATTCCAGCTCCTCCAAGAAATTGTTGGTATAGTAGTTTAAATCTGGCAACCATTACTTCAAATCATATTGTAGCATGTAAGCCCGTTGCTAAGTAATGACTATAAACAGTGCCCGCTGCTAGGCTATGACTGCGGAATAAGCAGACATATGCAGCAGTTGCTGAGTAACGGTTTTGCAAGCACGTTCCCATGGCAATGATTGCACTACAATAATGAGGAGTGGTGTTTTCTATGCAGTCCTTGCTGAGGGGTGATAAGCAGGACGAAGATTGGAGCACAGGAATCTGGTCATGGACCCCGGATGGATGCTTGACACCAAGACAGTCTGGCCAACTGACTGTCAGTCATAACATAACCTTGATTTTGATTTTGAGCTTGGTCAGGTGTGAGATGGTCGCCAACCAGTAAGGACATAAACAGAGGACATTGTTAGAATCCTTAACCATGATACAGCTAGAGAAACAGAAGTCAATATGTGCTGTAATGAGAAGATGAGAGCATGAATTAGTGAGAGTGTTGTAATTACTTGTAGTTATGATCTGTAAGTGGTCAATAAATCCAGTTACCAATCCAAATGCTGTCTGTGGTCACTCATACACGCGATAGTGTCTTCTCCAGTTCATTATTCACTATCATGCAATCATTCGGTGTCATAAAATAAATTACAAATAACTGATTTTGAATATCTTGAGAGCACAGTGACAAGTGTGTAGAAGGGCTTTTCTGAAATGTAGCAGGGATGTCAAGGTTTCAATGAAGTCAGATGCATCATAGTAAGAATGTTTTATTGCTGTGTGTGTGAGAGACAGAAATGAATGGCTCACATTGTCCCATCAAAACATTAACTAAACCTAGTATACTCCAAGGTTCCTATTTCACAAGTGTCGTGGCTGTGTGGAAAGAGCTCCATTTAAATCAGCGCTCTGCTAAGATGCATCACGGCCCCACACAAAAATGGTACATCCATGGTTAAGGACCCTAACTTAACAAAAAAGAAAGTAACCTTGCTTACATTTCACTAAAAGCTACACCACATTCTGGTCTGTCCAGAGTTCATTTGTGGAATTTGGTACTAGAAAAACATTCACTGATGTCTCTGGTATATTTACTATTCTCAATCATAGTTGGTATCAACTCGGCCATCTTCTTCTACCAGTTCATAACTAATATACAATTTTATCACGACAGAAGAGCGATGGGTGTAGCAATAATGCTTCAAAATGCGTCTATCTTGATTGAAGTTTTTGTGGTTTTCTTCAGTTCATCCAGGCAAATCCTGGGATAGTACCTCTATTAGGCCGTGATACTTTCTTCCAAATCGTTTCCAGTTAATCCATTAGCAGCTATATAATTTAACTAGGTTCTGATGGCGTCTCAAAAAAACCCACAAGAAAAATATAACAGTGTTTCCTGTCATCTTGTGATTCAATTCATAACTTCAGGGTTATTCAAAAAGAATGAACCGATTTCATGACGCATTGCTTCAGTTCTCAAGCATCATCATGGAATGAGTCAGTGACCATTTGAAAGAGGAGTTATTTAAGTTGTGATTGGCTGCCACAGGGGCACTGAAGTTGCGTCGTTCTTCCGGCAACGTTCAGTTGTTCGTTTACCCTCAGAATGGCAACTCCTCAGTAAAAGGCGTTCTGCATTCTCGAGTTCGCGAAAACAAATTCGGTTGTTACGGTGCAGCGTGCTTTCCGAAGGCGATTCAGCATTAATCCGCCCTGTTCTAAGAACATTTGACGGTGGTTTCGACAGTTTCAAGAGAGTGGGTGTCTGTGTAAAGGAAAAAGTCCAGGACGACCACGAGTCTTGGAGGAACAAGTGGCGAGAATCCGTACTGCGTTTGAGAGGAGCCCGCGGAAGTCAACAAATTGAGCTAGCCGTGAGCTTGCGATCCCTCATTCCACTGTCTGGCGTGTGCTAACAGTACATCTACATTTGAAACCATACAGACTGCAGCTCGTTCAGGCACTTACCAATGACGACAAAAGGAAACGGATGGAATTTTGCGATTCAATGCTGGAGATGATGAAAGACGAAACCTTCATTTCACGTTTAATTTTTAGTGATGTAGCGACTTTTCACTTGAGCGGCACAGTCAATCATCACAATGTGCATATTTGGGGAGCAGAGCACCCACATGAAACAGTTGAGCACGAAAGAGATTCCCCTAAGATGAACGTCTTCTGTGCTGTGTCTCAGGACAAGGTTTATGGTCCCTTTTTCTTTGAAGCAAACACCGTTACAGGACAAATCTATCTCGATATGCTCCAAAACTGGCTCTTCACTTCACTGCAAGCAGATTCGCATGACTTCATTTTTCAACAAGATGGAGCACCGCCCCAATGGCACCTGATGGTCCGAGCTGTTTTAAATTAAAAAGTGCCCTAGCGATGGATTGGTCGGAAGGTGGCCCAAGACCTTGCTCTTTGTGCTTGGCCTGCGAGATCCCCAGATCTGACCGTGTGTGATTTCTTCTTGTGGGGATATGTAAAAGATCACGTTTATGTTCCACCGCTACCCACTAACCTCGATGACCTTAAACATCGAATAACAACAGCAATTAACTCAGTGCATCGTGATATGCTGATACGCGCCTGGGAGGAATTCTCTTATCACCTTGATGTTGCCCGTGCTGCAGGTGGTGGCCACATTGAACACTTGTAAGACAGGAAATAAAAGTTGATTGTGAGTAGAATACTTGTGACTTGGTTGGAGTTTTGTATTACTTTCCTTTAATAAAATATTGCATAATAAAATCCGTTCATTCTTTTTGAATAACCCTGTATTTGCTGGCATGTATACTGAACAAATATAACAACAAAATAACAGTTCTTGGCCTTTTATGTAGGATTATAAAGACAGAATTAGTCTGAATTAAACTCTTGAATACTTGCATCAAAAGGTAACTCGACCCACTTGGCACCCAGGTTCTGGTCCTCTCCTGCCCTGAACTTGCCGGTGAGGTGCATGATGGGAACTTTAATCTCTACTCCAGGGCTCGGGCTGAAGCTCCTGTCATCAGTGTTCTCTACTCTGAAGGGAGTCAGCCACGCACCTTTCAGAAATATACCATTCACTAACACCATCTGCGTTCTTGCTGAAATTGCATCTGAAATAAAGTTACTTTCTGCAGGATCAGTAACTCTTTCATAGATTATTTAACCGTTTAGAGACTAAATTTATTCTAAATATTACATACAAATTCAGTCTGTCCCTGACATGAAACACATCATGTCTTCACTACAACGCCCAACTGTTTGGGCAAACAGTCAATGTTTATTTTGAGAAGCATATGAAACACACAGATATATATATATATATAAACTTGGTAACTTACAGGAAACACATCATGTCTCAATTACAAAGACCAACCAGTTAATGCTGTGTAAGGAAACAGTCACTGTTTATTGTGAGAACAATACAGAAGTTACAGATACATTCTGTGGGCAAAATACAAAGTTCTAATATGTTAGAGAAATTGGTATGTATGGTAGCTACAAAGACCAACTGGTTAATGCTGTGTAAGGAAAGAGTTGCTGTTTGTTGTGAGAACAGTACAGAATGGTTACAAATACACTCTATGGGTAAAATAACAAAGTTCTAGTATGTTAAAAAAATTTGAACATATAGTAACCACTGTGCTTTAAAGGGTTAACACTTTGAAGCATGAATTTCAAGCAAGCAGTGCATAAATATTCAGTTCCTATCTCATAGCGAAAAAATTGAATTCACCCTTCCTATAAGAAATGTAATTTTATATTTCAATCGTAATCATCAGATTCAAAAATAGCCCATTAACTGTGTTTGAATTTTGATATGACATTGACTGTACCAGTTTTCTTCTTTATGCTCTCCAAGACATCTAATCCTGTTTCCCTCATCAGGCATGCTCAGTGCTTAGTCAGGTTATAGAGTCCGAACTAGAACTCCTTGGTTTGATGAAGTGTAAGTCCTCATTTGATACAAGACAACCTGTAATACTCTTACCTGGATCAAGTATACTAGGTACTCTGTTGTGAGTGACGTATGACACCCAGGAGTTTATTTGCTTGGCCGCTTCTTCCGGCTTCAGGAAATCGGTTGTCTCAATGTCAGATAAGAAGTCTCTTATCAGCGTCTGCTTATACTCTGGCACCAGCTCGAAGCCAGATTTCAGGTATATCTTGTTGCCAAACTCCAGTACCAGAGAGCTCGGCTTTCGCTTCTGAAAAACGGTGACATTTTCATGTCAGCTTCTGTTAAGCTTTAAACGCTGGAGTTTATTTAAATGCCCGCTGCTGGTGCGCATTCAACTGCACGTTGCTACTCTGCATTTAAATGTCCATTCCTGTTAGGGCGCTTAAACAATTTTAAGCATTGTGTTTAAAAATGCTGTATATAACATCATTTTTATGATAAATGAATGGAATTAACTTTGTTTATATCAGCAAAGAACATAGTGTCGCATATTATAATGGAAGATTTTAAAATTTTTGTACAAAGAATTATATTCTTTTTTTTTTCTTTTAATTTTGATACGTACTGCGAAAACATTTTCCCAGTTCTTCACAGAGTTGTCCTGCATTATAAATTCATTTCTGTTGGTAACACTTGACAAATTTTAGCAGACCCTGGTGTCAGAAAACAGATGGAAGCAATAAAGTAATTTGGTTCTCTGCTGGGAAACCTTACATCTTGTTACACCCTTCAGATTTTCGAATCAGTTGACTAAAGGACAGAAGAATGAAAGAATGGCTAATCAAGAAAAAGAGCTAGAGGGGTCCTGTCTTGAGTGCTAAGTCCTTCTGTTATAGCTGCAAGAGATTATTGCACTTTCTATGGTCGTGAACAGACAGTTGCATCATGGCTTAAATACAGAAGGTGATCTGTTTTCTGTGCGTACACAGTGACATCGAATACTGTAGTTTCATTTCAGCCTATATCTACATCAAGCAGATAACAACAAAAAAGGTATGTACATCGAATTTTACTGTATATTTTTAACACATTAATCTGCAGAATCTTCAATAAAGGTACTGGCTCGTGGATGAGTTCGGAACTGAC